TATATATATAATTCTAATAACTGATCCCAGTGTGCTGTGTACAGATAGAGAATTGCTCCTACTGAGAGCTAATAATGTGATCAAATCTGCTTGTTAGAAAAATCACTATAAGTAAAGACAGTTGGCAGGAAAAGTAAGGGGGTGAGAATTGTCTTCCATTTAATCCTGAAATTTCTTTTCCTTGATTTTCATTGCTCTGTTTGTTCTTGAATTTATTCTAACCTCTAAAGACTTTTTTTCTTACTGCCTCCTACTTTATTCTCTATCTTACTTTGTTCTCCAAACATTCCCTTACAAAGCTGATTTTTGGCACTGATCTCTAATTCTCTGTACTGTTTCTCCCTAATGTTCTCATTTACTCTAATGGCTTTAGTTATCATCTCTCTGTGGATAATTGCAAATTAAATTTCAGGCCAGTAAGAGCTGGGCCTGAATAGGAATGAGTATTCCAGAACACTTAATTATGTATATATGAAATGTATACCTAGCCCAAGAAGCTGTTGTCTGAACAGAGCAAGGAAACACTGCATGGTTTAAAATAGGGGAAAGAGTGCTTGCTGAAAGCGAGATGTAGCTGAGGTGCTTGCTGCAGAGGATCAAAGACTGCAGCCTTCAATATGGGTTATATCTCAACATTAAAAAGGCAAAAATCCTCACCAGTGGACCAGTAAGCAACATGATAGATGGAGAAAAGATTGAAATTGTCAATAATTTCATCTTGCTTGGATCCATAATCAACAATACCTTTGGTACCAATAGTCCGGACATCCGGAGACACATAGTATTGGGAAGTTGGCTGTCAGGGATCTTTCCAAAGTCCTGAAGACCAGTGAAGTCAGTTTAAAGACTAAGAAGCTATATTGCCATCCCAAAGACATGTAGTTTTAATCCACCAGTGCTTTTTGGAGGCAGTATGGGTATTCTCCTCCAGTGAAATATATTATCTCTGAAAACCCACTGGAGGGTCAGTTATGAATCTGTTCCTACTTGATGGTTACTATTGTTATAACTCAGTTGCAAATAGAGATACCATTTGACCCAGCAATTCCACTACTGGGAATATACCCTGAAGAGACCATAGCTGACATCCAAGCAGATATATGCA